GAATTGCGCCCTCCTTGCGAACACCCCCCATAATCCCTATGACTCTCGGATCCTCCAGCAACATACGGACCGCCCCCTCTTGCCTATTGGTGACTGCGAGAACCAATGGGGGGTATCCATAAGAGGTCATGCAGTTGACGTCGACTTCAGGGTCGGCCAGTAGCACTCTCAAAACCTCCAAGCAGCCTTGCTCGACGGCCCAGTGTATCGGCTGCTCATCGAAGGGGCCGTACTTGGTCCTGATCTTGATGCCCGCTTTGTAGAGGGTGAGGAAGGCGTTCTCATCCCGCTCACATCTGATAAGTCCCTCAAGGACAGTAGGATCTCTTCTGTATTGGATTGTCTCGGCGGCTCTCCGGAGGATTCTGCGGGCAATAGCAACATTACCTTTCTTTGCGTAGAATTTGATGAGCTTAATGCACCAATCGCGGTCTTTCTGTCCACAGGTAATGTTCACAATTCCAACAGAAAATAATGCCGCGAAGCGGGCATTAGTTCTGCGGAGAGAATTGATATCCGAGGGAGGCAGAAATTCTGCAACCCTATGGACCAACTCGTTGGGTAGGTGTATGAAAGGCATAACTCTCACTGACGATGTGAAGGAGTACTGGTAAGGTTGCGCGGATGTGAAGGTGTGGGGAGGGGTAAATCAAGGGGAAGGGGAAAGGGTTGGGGTAGAATGTTGCTATTATATTCCGCTACAGCTGTTACCCACCTTTTCGCTGCGTCGGGGAGTCGAGCTCACGGTACCGGTGGCACTGAGTCAAGGGATGGTTGTATAGGCGCTGGTTGTGGAGGGTGGAGGTGGTGTGGGAGAGGGTTGTGTAGAAAAGGGAAGTGGCGGCGGGATTGAGGGCTTTATAGTGCGGAGAAAAGTGAAGACGACGCTTGTCGGACGTTAACTCAGAGAAAGGTTTACCAAAGCAGCAAGTTTTGCGTTCTGAGCCTCGCACCCTGACTTGCGTGTAGGGGTTTACAAGCAAGATGGAAGGGGGCTTTTTAAGTTGGCGATGAAAAGGGGGAGAAAAAGTTTGCCGGGTCGGAGAGAGTTGAACTTGAACTCTCTGGTGGGGATAGATGGGTTTCGCTTTCAAGTGAGAGGGTGAGAAAGGAGGAATAGAATGCGTATCTGCCCTCGCTACTATCATAAAAACTAGAAAAACTTGTAGAATATTATCATACTGCACAGTTCCCCTGTCCCCCCCAAAAAGAGCAATTTATTCAAGCTATTCTAGTCACAGAAAATCACCCGGACATATTATCCATCCTTCCAGATAGAGATACCCTAACACCATACATTCCTATTCAAGATCCCGGTTCATCCTATCCGGTTCCCGAATACCCTGAAAACTCGAATAAACGAGTCACGGGCTATGCAGTCCAGAATTTCCTCCCGAAGAAGGGGCGAAAAACATACCAAAAAACCTGCATTTGGAGACAAATATCGTAAAAAAGAAAAAAGGAAAAACAATACTAGACCTTACCAGGGGAGACAACTCTAAAGTTCTACCACATGGCCTCATTATCTTAGTTCTGCCGGTATTATGCTTAGCCCACGAGCATATCTTTCTCCCCCAGACACAGATATTGCAACTCCGTGAGTAAACCAAGTCACAGGAAGCAATTACGAAAGCCAATCCGCCAGGATAATAGACAACAGATAGTAGACTTAGACAGCTATCGAATACAACCGGAAATACCGTGTAGGCAAGCTCGAGGAGGTATAGGTAGGGTAAGGCGCCTCCAAGGCAATGTATTTTTAAATTGTATTTTTAAATGGCGGGAGTGGACAACGATGGACCGCCTGGTGGCGGCTTCGGGTGGGCCGCTTCAAATGTGTATGATACGAGGTATGATATCACTCGCGTAACACGATATTAGCAACTGGCAATCATCCGACTTCAAGACCCAACGGCCGGCCACTGGCACGCAGAACCAGACCAACCAATACAGTCACCTAAAACCAACTTCCCAGAACTTACAGCAAAAATAGCAGTCTTCGCGCCCGATTCCTTGCACCCCTAAAACTATCCAACCCTAACTTATCCCTACAAACCATACCCACCCGACTGCACCAGCTACAATGTATATGGGATGAGGGGAGAAACCAACTGGAGTGAATGACGGCTAGCGATCTATTTACCGCGTTACTGTTGAGTTACTGTTGAGTCTGGACGGGTAGTTTGCTACAACTCCAGTAACCGTTTTCTTCTTCTTCGCGATTTTGATTCCTGTCGTCACGGGTGCAGGAAGGTTTGCTGAAATTTGAGTTTTTTGTTGTAGATCACCGTTGCTTCTTGTCGTGTCTGTGAAAGTTTTCATCTAAGTTATGTGCTATCTTGTCCCGGACCTTTCCTTGGCTTCCTGAACCATTGATAACGTAAAAAATCTCGTGAAAACCCCGTCAGATAATTGGTGGAAATCATCCAGCAGGGAGAGATGGGCTCGGTTTAATAGGCTAAGGGAATCGTAAACACCGGATAATGGGGTCCAACACATCCAGTGGGTTGATTTTACACCATGTTAAGAAAATGCTAAACAATCTCGGCAACTTTTCCTCTTCCTATGGATCTATAGCTTACTCACTCAGCGAAGATATTAAAGCTCAAGAGCTTTTATGGTATGCAATAGTGATGGGAGTAAATACTACCCCTCTATATGAGGTTTACGATAGAAAACTCGGGAGATTCCTAATGTTGAAACACATTGGAATATCATACTAACTTGTAGTAACTCACAGTCATTAGTAGTGTTCTTGAGACATATATATTAATCATGTAATACAGTTCCCTTCTCAAACAATTAAGTATTATGATAACCGTCTCGCAATAAGCCAGATCTCCAATTGTGCTCGCAGAAATTTATAAACTCCCCCTCAACAGCTAAAAAAAATTTTACCATTTCTGCACTCAACTTACACTTCCGGCGGAACACAATGGCCCGAACCACATACATGCAATCAGTCAGCGTCGGCGACAGCAATTCCCGTTGCGGCAACATAAATTAACGGGTAGTCCCAGCAAAACTGTCTAGAAGTCCGACGAGGATGCGCAGATTACGCTTTAGCTGTCTCCACTGGACCCGAACAATAGACATGAAGTTGTGCGCACCGACCGATTTGACGGTGCCGGGGATTGGATCGGTTTTTGGAAACAGCCGAGTCGCGGGAGTGGAGAAGTGGTGGTGAGGGTGGAGCCGATAAGGGTGTGTCTTGTTTCGCGAGCGGGAATCCGGGAGTGGGCAAGACGTATGGATACTATGATATACCCGACCACATTCGACGTCCTCCCAATCCCATACCTACCAGCCTACAGCAACCCCCCTCTCCCCACTCCCCCCACCCATCTATGATACCCCCATTGCCCATCTAACCCCACCTCCCCCCGAGTCCCGAGAACCGAAACCCCTCCCAGCCTGCCCGGAAGGAAACTCACCCAAACCAGCATCAAAGCCTAACTTACCTGAACCCTCACCGAGTCGCAAAACGTCCACACTGGCTGCCACTCCGTTCCGCCCGTCAGCACCGCTAGCAAGCTAACGGCGAAAAATTGATCACCAACCGCCTTTATGGCTGCGGTAAAGTACCGGTATCGTTGCGAAGTTACTCGTATATGTTGGGCGGAGAAAATGGCTCACCGTAGGTATTATATCTCGTATGGCAGGTGAGACTAGCTATGCTATGCTACGTCCAGATATCGGAATGTCTAATATCGATCTCCTGCACAATTTGCTGCCAATCTGGAGGTTAACTTATGGACTAACGTCGCCCCAGCGATAATGGAGAACTCCCCGCCAGCAAGTACCGTACAGTATTGTACGGTGCCACTCGCTAAAGGCTCTAACGGATTCCGATTGTTAATATGATACAATGCTAGAGAAAAATACCTTACTAATCATCCATGCATCCAGGTACGGTACAGTACTTATACTGTGCATGAGAAAAACACGGGGGGTAGATATAATCCCGCAGGGAAGCCACGATGGCTAAGCGAAAGATATGATATGATATCATACTAGTACTACAGTATCATACCGCATATTTCGATTAACTTCTAAATCGCGCTTATGCCCCCCCTTCTAGACGGAAGGACAAAAATGGGGGAAAAGGCGCGCTTGCCCCTGTGTGGCGCCCAAGATCAATGGTTGGTTGGGATGGAGACGGCTGCGAAAAGTCTTACATTAATCTCCGCCTCAAGCCTCCCAACTCATTTCTTCAGCCATGATATGAAATACCCAGTAAAGTGGAGAGAGAGAAAAAAAAAAAAAAAAAAGGTTGGTCATCAACTGAAGAACACGGTGATTATATTTTCTAACTTATCATACAAACTCCGAGCGAGCACCATCATGGGTAATCACTTGACTCTTTCCGATATTCGCTAAAGTTCGCCACCCCTCTCTCGCCACGACAAACTTCTATTCCCCTCCTTCTACTGCGGTATGATACTTGTGCCCCGTACTCGGGAGGTACGAGGAAGGTGTTGGTGAGGGTGCATGCCTGACAATCGTCCCATTTCGTAGCCTCGTAGCTACCGTGTTCAAGCCACGTTGGCTACCGGTGAAAGGGTATTATCACCGAGATCCCAAACTGCAAGCTCCTATCCAGTTGTGAAATGGACAAATCCCCCAATAGCATTCATGAAATCTACAAGACCTAACTCAACAATTCCAAATAAAGGCTTGGGTATACACGCCAACGCTCCACATGACTAGTACGATAGACAAATAGTCTAGCACGGTACTCGTATCATAAATGCACTTCAGACACAGTCCCCAAGAAAATTACAGGTACCGTACACCCTCGTATGATACTTTCGACCGCAACTAAACAAAACAGGAGTCACAAATTACCAACAAACCTTTTCAACACGTACAGTACACCCACCGCCACCAGCGAGCAAACCAGCACACTACAGGACCAGGGATAAATTTACACAGAATAGAGAGTAAGGAAAAACACAACTTCCTACATACCCCAGCTTTTCTTCTTAAGTACCTCTCACTCACAACCCCCAGTCAAACCCAAAATCCTCGGCGAAAAACAAATTCCTTCTCCTCCATTCCTTATCCCTCCCATCCGTCTCCCCAGAGCCCTCACCGTCAATCACCCCTCCATCCCCGCGCTTAACAAACTCTTCCAAAAATCCAGGACTCCGGACTCTCTCCTCACCATTACAGAACAAATGCAAGACCTTGAAACCGGCTTTCCGACCAGGCACCCACTCCCCCACCCTCGCTTCTCTTAGTTCCTTAACTAGCTTTGGTATCTCCTTATCCGGGTCCACGTTCTCCGCCGGACTCTTCCACTGATTCGCTGTCCGGGGCGCTGTGCCTAGGGATTCCTCAGCGTTTCTGACAACTTTGGAAATAGTCCTTATGTTCGGCGTAGCTACCTCGCGGAAGAAGCCGTGTTTGGGGTTATCCCGGAGGTCGAAGACGGCCTTTGTTTGTCGGAGGAGCTGCTTCATAGCAAAGTCTACTTCTTGATAGTCGCCGGAGATTTTCGGGGATGCGGGGTGGGGCGCTGGGGCTGGGAGAGGTGCGCCAGGGCTCTTGGGGATTAGCATTGAGTCGAGGACTGCTCGGCGGAGGGGCGGCTCCCACTCACGGGTGAGGCCTGCTACGAGATCGAGAAGTTCGTTGCCGAGGCTTGAAGATATGGGGAAACTTAGTGACTGGAAAGCCGTTGAAAGCCAGGAGAGGACGTGGAGGAGGGAGGTTGTGGAAGCGGTGGAAATTGTATCTAGTAGTGTCAAGTATACCAGTGAGTGCTGCATTAAAAGCATGTGATTCTCAAAAATCTCGTCTCTTGTGCGAGGGTCCAAAGCTGACTGATAATTCTTCACTACCTCTGGTTCCAGATATATATCGTACACTTTGGTGATAATATCTAAAGCTTCTCTCTTGGTCTTGGGGCCCGATTCCCGAACCTGGGTGACCGTCAGAATCGAGTCGATAAGGTGAGATTCAAGCGAATGAAGCAAAAGGCCCTCAGCGTATTGGCCAGTAACGGAGAAACCGAAGATGAGAAACTTCCGATTCATGACTTGCATATGGTGACATAAGCTTGTCGGATCTTTATCGTTTGGTCTGCCGTAATGCTGTTTCAACAGCTCCAATAGAAAGTGTTCGCGAATGTCAAATAATTGGAGCACCGGGTGAATGTTGTGAAGGATGGAATCTGGCAGGGCTATCGATTTGGCCTTCCTCAACGCCAAGACAAATTCAAGGTTCCCAGCCCACAACCAAAGCCTATTGCCGGGGTTAGAACCCTTCAGATGCTCCCGCTCGATACCAAGGTACTCGGTTACCATTTCAAGTATCGATAGTTGCTCCTCGATTTTCTTAGTGCTCACACGTTTCATACTTGGCATGGGAAAAAGATCATCTTCGCATACCCGAGAAGCGGGCTGCTCTCCCTGGGCGATTTCACTTTCATCTACCCTTGGCACCCCTCGTACCCTAGAAAACGTGGCGAGGTAAGGCGGCTCAGTGTTCACCTCACTCTCACCGAGGATTTCTCCGATTTTGGGCCAGAGCCTCCTCATGGCACGCCAAACGGCAAGCCTTGATTGATTTTTCCAAAATATTTTACCATCCTGGTCGGTCAACAAGAGCCTGGAATCGTCCTCTGTTCCCTGGGCAGCCGCTGGGTTCCTGGGCCACGTTGGCCCTGGGGCGGCAGAAGTGTTGGGTTGGGCAAAATAATAGTCGCCGTTTGGCGCAGATGTGGAAGTGTCGTAACCAGGAGTGGCGTTTAATGCAGATTGGGCAAAGCTGTAGGGAAAATAGCTCGCAGGAGGATAGGCTGAACCTGAAGCCTGCTCTCTATTGACAGAAGTTAAAGGGCGTGGGATAGGAGGCACGGAAGAAGCCGGGATAGCAAGGGCAGTGTGAAGATACTTTTCACGGCGAAAGGTACACGAGGTTTTCACCATGGCCTTAGTCAGTACTGGTGTTGATAAAGGCAGTCTAATGATAAAAGGGATTGTGGCGCAGGGTGCAAAGTTGTCAGCCCTTAGATGATCCTTCGGTGTAGGGTGATAGGTAATTTGAGATATAACAAATGAACGTTTTCCCTCTAACGGGTTGGGACGATCAACACCCACTGGCCTAGGCTCTGTCGGAACAGATTTCCGCTTTGATGCCCGCGAGTTGATCCGTGGAGCGCCTGGGCCTCGGACCTGCAGGTCTGATCCACCCATCTCCGTACGCAGCTTCTTCTTGATGTCATCGCTTATGACCCGGAGAACTGGGGAAAATCAGCCCTAGAAGCACAGACCCCGACGGGAAAGGTCGTGTCGAACCATTGTCACCAATAACCTTGCCTTCGCTCCCAACGCCCAAAGCACGGAGCGAATTCAAGGGCCCTTTGCGGACACCCTGGGCGTAAAGATACAGTCCAAGCCATTTCTGGAATTTATTTCTCACCTGGGAGCTTGCAAGAAGCAACAACATAATAGTGACCGTAAGTGGGGGGTTTGAGGGCGCCCCCATCATTGACCACGAGGCTGTGGTGGGGCTTGTATCCGCCTTTCGCCGCTTCGACAACGGTTGCGGGGCCGATTCGTTCCCTGTGGAAGCTGCCAATGCCTTCGCCTCCACCCATTCACGGTCTGAAGACGAGAGAGTTTCGAGTAGACGCCAAAGAAGGGGGGCCTTGCGTTCGCATTGCCGTTGGACTTTGGCGAGATCGAAGTTTTCAAGACCCTCCTTCAAAATTTCCCCAGTAGTTCGACCACGAGACTCGGTAGAATTAGCTCGTACATCGACATTAATCTATAGTTTATTGATTTAATGCGTTAGGGGAAGTCAGGAGATTTTTTCTTTGATCATGAGAGTAGCAATTTCACAAGGCCAAGGGGAGGTACGAACACCGCCCTTGACAAGACCAGCGTCAAACTCGTCTTTAAACACTCCACCAGCCCACGACACAGCAACCTCGTCACCACCGTTCTCCCTAGCACGCTTCGAATTCATAAAAATTTCGAGAACAGACCTGATGCCGCCGTGTGTGTAAAACAAACTCACCCGGCGTCGAACAGTAGAGTCATCACTGTTGAACAAGCGAACAAGGAAATCAGAAATGGAAATGAAGCCGAGTGATTTTAGCGAATCCAAGACAGCCAAGAGTCTAAGTGGCTCAGGGGATTGGGCACCTAGCGACCCGGGGCTGTAAAGTGGGACCGAATCATCGTGTTGATGAAGGTGATCATGATGGGGCTGCTGCGGCTGGTGTTGTTGATGTGGTTGCTGCTGTTGGGTGACTGGAATTGGGCCGGAGGTAAAGTGAAGAGTGGATGGAGGAGGAGGCGGAGGAGAATGCTGAACCGAGATGCGATATTGTTGTGGTGGTGGTGGTTGCGGTTGTGGTGTTAGAGGGGGGGGTTCCCCCCGACGTCGAGGCATGTTCCTATGGTTCTGGTCCTCTCCTTTGCGTCAAGGGATTGCGGGGACGAATCGTATGCAATCAATGATAGCGCTAGGGGTGGTCCATATGACAGAGATTTCAGGTGTAATTGAAGAAATTGGAGAGCATAGCGTTTGACCAATGGACAAGTGGGAGACGCGTTGTTGATGTTCATCTTGATCCCTCCCATCTCCACCCTTATTGCTTTCTTTTTCTCTTCCCCTCCCACTCTTACTTGCATCGATCCCCACTCACACGTACTCGTACAGAATCGAGGCGCATACAAGCATCTCCGCACACAAAGAGTCGTTACACAACAGCTCGGCATAAGAGATTTTGATGCGTTCCTCTACTTCTCGAGTAGTTCTGTTGGGTACGGTGCTCGTGCACGCAAGACCTCCGATCCCGAGTTACTCAATTGAAATACATCTTCTGACATGATATGGTACATACCGGTATGCGATACCGATATCGGGCAAGGTAAATACCGGTACTCGCAGCAGCAATCTCCTGCCAATCCCGTCAAGTTAACCTCCTGACCTCTCGCAGCTGTACGCGAAGTCATCGTAGCCGGCTGCATGAGAGCGAAAATACTCGAGTGCCGTACTCGAGTACTGTACCCAACGGAAAGAAAGTAAACTCAGCCGTAAGGAATGGAACCGCTATTAAAACTGCTGGTATTCTACCCTCCACCGGTCTTGTTTTTGGTCATATCATCAAGTATGAAACCTGGAACTCGTGATCGGCGAGAATGATACCTTTATTGTTTGTGAGATAAGATCAAGATAATACCGATATCTTGGTCAAGATGATCTAATCTCTTGGGAACAGGGTTAGGTTTTTTATAACACCACAAGGAGATGCGAGCCCATGTTCCTTGTCAAGCCAAGCTTTAACATTGAAAGGTAACTTTAGTCAGACAGGCAAAATATAAAAGACTCAAAATGAATCATGATGGATACCGATGGGTTGTGGTAGGAAGACCTCACTAAGGCACCTATCAGGATGCCTTCCCTCAGACAGCACACCGCCTTGGAAGTGGTGAGTAGCATCAGGCACAGACCATCCAGTATAGTTTGTGCCATGCATCAGTATCATACCGGTTGTCGCCCACTCAGGACCGTCTATACGTACCGTCCCGGTCTTGCAAGCTCTATTGGAGCGAACCCTTCTGGTTATTTTGCCAGTTTAGGAGTTTGCAGCCCTTGGGCACGATTTCTTATCCGCTTTGGGATATCGTCCCAACATTTCCCTGCGTCCCACAGAAGGCCTGCCGCCGGGTCTTGCGCAGAACAACGTGGTAGCGAGATCTACAGCATATGTAAATTATCCGTTAAACTCCCATCAAAAATTTGGAGCCACACCGCATCAGTAATGCCTGTGCGGAAAGGGGCCACTCATTAAAATTCTCCACAGCTCTGGATGAGTTCTTTCCCCCGACTGTTATAATCTGAGATTTTCTCACCGACGCTTCTCACTTCTGCTTTGGCGCATAACAAGCCTGGGCAAATTCAATCTCTATGTGCAGACGAGAACTTTTAACGACAGCCCTAAATCAGCCTTCCAGGGATTTTCTCGGGCCACAAATCGACCAATCTCGAGATCTTCCGGAGATGTGAATCAGATTCCTCTTTCATGACCCGTCACTCGCGGTTGTTCTAGTGTGTCTTCTATGCAAGGCCAAGCATGTTTGTGTGCAGCATATCACGTGACGCTTTTCAATAGATCTACCACTCCCACAACCCCCAGTCTCCTTTCCCTACGAGATTCTACCTGAACCTCCCACCTAAACCACCACTCTTCGCCTCAGCAAATGTGTACCGGAGCGAACCTTCAGTTCGGTGCGATCCTTGCCCGAGTTCGCATCGCCTCTAATTTTGTCCCCACACTCACTCCCTAAGGCTTTTGTGTGCACTGTACATTATGTGCAGTGTGAACTCTCTACTGTGAATGCGCTTGACGCAATGTGCATTCGGGCTCAAAGACATGGATTGTGCGAAGGGTATGGTAGTCCTCCTCACTCATTCCCTTTCTCTATATATTTCTGTGATGGAAGAGCGTTTGTGCATCATCACCATCGCCATCTTTCAGTTTCATTTTAAGTGCTCTATACCAGACCCCGCCGACCCGGCTCACTCTGCCTGTGACGTTTCATCTTGTTCTAGATTCTCGTTTCCGTTCTAGACACTCAATTTCCAACGCCTCTCTGCCTTCCTCGGTCTTTTCTACAGGCCGATTTCTCTTGAGATATAGAGGCGCCGGCACCATCCCATCTAGACCACCCCCATCACAGAAATTATTTCTTTATATCCTGTAACCCCCCACCTTACGTTCAATGCACGCACGATCGATCTAGCTCACTATCTACTTAGACATACCCGCTGGTACTAAATATGTCCTGCCACGAGTACCAGGAGGTCGGGGCTATTCTCCGAGACCCCGGATATACCCAAGACCTCTTCCACTGCTTTCAAAAGGTCCTCGATGAGCGCCTTAAAAGCCGTTATGGCAACAAATTTACAGGGGTGATCAACGATGACGACTCCTTCCTCCTGCTACTCCGAGATATGGTCGCGGCGCACTCAGACGCACAAGCAGAAAGCAGCGCCATATGCCCAAGACACACCGGCGAGCAACACACCGAGGGCCAATACTTCGAGGAGAATTGGCCCAGCACTCTAAACCCTCCAAATCCGGAATTAGCAAGACTTAACACTCTTTTCTTCGGTAGCGTGGATTGCTCCTCGTCCCTCTCCAGGGCGGAAAGCGTCCAGCAAGCAATCGCGAATGTGGACCAACAACTGCCTGAGGATACAACCATGTCCGATTCCCACAGCCAGAACCAACTGCAGCAGCAGGCCCAACCTCCGGCATCGCCGCCACCAGAAATGCACGGGACCAACACGGCTCATCCACAAAACCAACAGATGGGCACGCAACAACTCTTCTCCCAAGTCTTCGGCCAGAAAAACGCTCGACAGCCCACCGGGAACCACACCTCCGACAGCGGGGAATCTTCCGGCGCTCAGTCCGACATTTCATTCACTAGCAGTCGTAAGCCGAGCGGAAAGCGGGTAGCAGGAAGGTGGGCCTGCCCCGTCGAAGACTGCCCGAAGAGGGGCGAACTTATGCAGAAGTGCCGTTTAGAGTAATTTCCCCTCCCCTTCTCTCTTCCCATTTACCCTTCGCATGAGGTACTGATGGAGAGCTATGGATACAGTGACCACATGGCGCGCCACCAACCCGAACGTCGCACCCACTGTCCTAGTTGTGATAAGATTTACCTGCACAGCCGCACGTGCAATGAGCATCACAAAAAGGCGCACGGAATGGACTTGAAGAGTGGGTATGAGCGGCGGGCATATCTATTCACACAACAGGCCGCCAGCCTCGGGGATATGGAGGGGTCTTTCACCGAGGAGGAGGCAATGGCGGGGGTTACGACGCACTAATTTGGGGATTTCGTTTGCAGGAGGAAAGTTGCCTTTTTTCATGATCGTAATATTATGGGGGGGTTCCTTCGTATTTCTCTCCACCTATCTGTCTTTTGTCTGCGCTGCATTCTTCTGGTCCAGTCTGGTTTTTGTTCTGCTTGGTTTTGATCCCTTACTTGCTTGTTTGTTTGCATTTTTACATGCTGGGCGGGGAGTTGGACATGTTCCTGGCGAGTAGAGGTGGCTAAAATATTTGTTTCTGTTTTTATTCCCCTTGTTACTCTAACTATCGTAATTCTTCAACATTTTTGTTTTACCCTCCCCCCCCCATTTATCCCACCTTACCCACTTTCACTTCATCACTATACCCCCCCCCCCCCCCCCCCCTTTCCCCTCCCCAAACCCCCCC